TTTTCCTTCATCTGTAGAGAATACTTTCCTTTGTTCAGCACTGACAGATTTATTTCATGGCACATTCTTGTACAAGCTCTGCTTCTTCGACTTCCCTTTGCCCGTGTCCCACAGGGGACCCGATCAAGTGGGCCTGAGCAGTGGAGCTCCAACACTGCCACTTCAGTGTTCAGATGGTGATGATGCTGCTGCTGCTTCTCCTTTCTTTCCCAGGCCTTTGCCTAGGTTACAGGGAGATGAGTTCAAGCCTTCAACTCTTCCTTTGAAAAGGAACGAAAACAGACTGTGGCATTTTGATAAATGCCCTGGCTCCGGGCAGGGTGCAGCTCTGAGAGGGGTTGTTCCCTACCTCGTGTTCAACCTGTTTCACCTGGAAGAGAAGAAAGTTTCCATGGGCTGAGACCCATGCTCACCATGCTGCCTAGAAACTGGGGCATGGAGCTGGGCAGGAAGCACTGAATTTTTTTATTCCTTGCTCAGATAACTATACCTAGATTTGATCCAATGGTCAATTAATAAAAATGCACAAATGATCTTTAAAAATGAAGCAAAATCGAAGTCAGCTTGGGCAGCTGAGGCTGCAGTTGTCTTTTAATATTCAGTCCTTTTACAAGTGAGGAATAGTCTCAAGAGGAGGGGCTCAAATTGCCCCATTTCTATACGTGTGTGTTTGGATGCTTTTTGTAACATGAAAACATGGGTTAAAAGTGTTGAAGAGAAACTGAATTTCCATCTCTAAGTGCAGGTGAGAAATCTAGTCACTGAATTATGATGTGAGGCAACACAACAGCACAAACTACACAGAAACAGAGAAAGGGATACTCATTAAAGTTGTTGAACTCCTTGAGGCCATTTGCTTCTGGTGTGAAGTAGTCAACATCTGGTGTTAGGCCTCTAAGCCCTGGATAAAGGTAGACTTTTAAGATAAAGCGTTGTCATCAGAATTTCTAATTACCTAGTCCAGGCAACGTTCAGCTCAACGTGCTGGCTCAGTATCCTGCCGTGGGCTTCTGAAGCCTCTCCTTCCTTGCTGAACAAGTACACGGAACGCGGAAAGCCAAGTGCTTGACGTTGCTTTTGTAGATCAAGCCCTCTGTCTTTAAAAGTGTGTTGGAATTCCTGCAGATTTGTGTCATATCTCTGCCTTCCAAATAGCCTTTTATTATATCTGAACAAAATGTGATATGTTTTGCCTGGGTTCTGGTTGGCGGGTGCGTATCTGCTGATGGGTCAGAAAAGTGGGGAGAACAGACGGATAAACTGCTGAGCCTGGTGCTGTAGCCTTTCTGCAGCAGCATGTGGGTTTGCACCTTTTCCCAGGTACCAGATAAACTGCTGAGCCTGGTGCTGTAGCCTTTCCGCAGCAGCATGTGGGTTTGTACCTTTTCCCAGGTACCAACTTTTGTGGAATGTATATGCATTTCAGATGTGACACAAGTCTTGGGTTTGCTCAGAATTGGTCCAGGAGTCCTGAGGCTCGCATGGGAGAGGAGCAGACTAACAGGAAGCATGATCTCACCTAAGCTTGGTTGCTTTAGGAAATCAGGTTTAAATGATGTTTGTCATGTCCAGAGGTGGTTGAGTGGTCATAGAGAATGTCATAGGACTAGATAGGTAAAAGTTAATGTAAAATAATAACACTAAATCTTACAGCTTACATCATTTGTAAATGGTACAGTGTTTGAGGAAGGTTTGGGGCTTCACCTTTCTCCCCTTCCACTCCACCTTCCAATTCCATCAAATATTCTGGTCTAAACTTATCTTGGGAAAACCAGTCGTTTGTCGCTGTTACTACACTCCATTGCAACCATTCTGCAGTGGGAAAAATGTTACTGTGTTAGAAACAAAATTACTCAACTGTAATAGCTGTTATGTAATTTCTGAATTTAGGCTTAGGCGTTTTTCAGTTTGTCATCTGAAGGATTGCTTCTAACAGTAATACTATCACATTTACTGTCAATAGACTACGGAAACCTCTTCTAAGTAAAATCTACTGTGCCTTTTCCAACCATTCGCCTTGTATGTTTGGCCAGTCTGTATCAGCCATTTCTTTGGGATTTATTTGCAGGGTACTCTGACTTTGTCGGGAAGAGAAGCCCTGTCTGTGCGTGGCCACAGCTAGCATGTCTCCCGCAGCGAACAGCTAGACTGGGGGTAAGCGTTCTAACAGAGTATAGTGTCCCTTAAGGCAAAACCAAGGTTATTTGCAGCCTTTCCTGTGCTCTCCTTGGGTTTGTGCAGTTTAGAGCACTGGAGCAATTTGTTCTTTAAGAGGACATCCCTGAATTACATTGTTTCTGACAAGGAGGAAGAATCTATTAAACATTTGGCTTATGCTTTCTGAGACACTGACGTGATAATTAGGAGATGTGAGATTGTTTTCCTAACACACTGGAGTGCAAGAATGGCAGGATAGCTGGCATGCTTAACGTAGTATGGAAACTTTCTCCGTGTGTGGCTGCTGGAAGTTTGAGGAGTCAAGAGCTTTCCCCAGCTGTTTGCTGATTTAATTAGATTTTTTTTTTCCTGTCAAGAAATCTGAAGGTCAGCACATGCTTAGCAGAATCTGTCATTTGTGATGATGAAGTACTCCACAGTGGATCTTTAAAAACCAGTGGTGCACACTTTAAGGGTCTGGTGTGTTTCGTTTCTGCTGGTCAGGAAAACAAACAAGCCTGTAAACAGAGGTGGCTGATTCTTGCAAGTCTCTGAAGTATCTGTGGAAACAATGTGGGTGCTGTCTGAGAGCAGAGATTCCTGCAGTTGAGATAATTAATGAGCAGTGTGGAAATAGAGACTGTTTATTAGAAGATTGTCAGTGACCAACAACATATTAGCAATTGAGCTGTGTACACTAGCCTTTCCTTAAACTTTTCCCTGCGTGAGTCACGGTAGTAGCACACTTCCAGAGTCGCTTGGTTTGTACCTGTGTTGTGCAGAGAGGTGAAAACGCACCAGTAGCGTTCCTAGGTCAGCAGAAGTGTTCGTGTTACAGCTTGACATTTCTGGTAATGCTGACGAAAAGCTTTAAGGGGAGTGTTTGCTGCAAGGCTTTACACTCCAGTTCTGCAGGGAAGCTGAAGTAGGTGTGCTAAAGGAAATGGTAGGACTCTCCATAGAGGAATTAACAAACTTTCTAGGCATGTTGGCTCATTGTTTGGGTTTGCTTTTGTTTGTTTTGCTTTTGAATTTCGCTGGTTAAGACACATGTAGCAACAGCAGGTTAAAGAGGGCAGCAGGGTTGTTTTCATCCCCACAAGAGCTCGGGTTGTGCTTTCCTAGAAGGTTGGATGAAAATCTGTTTTGTCCAATGCCTGTGAATATTCTGGCATACGTTGAAAGTGTAACCTCAGCAGTTTGATTTTGAAGGGACAGGTTCAACTTCCAGTTTGTTGTATTTTACACTTACTATGGGAACTCATCTGGGGAGGAAAAAAATCTCTGTGCAGTATTGAAAAGCTCCCTGAGCTAAGGACATCTTGTACAAGTATCCTCTTACTTAAAGGGCACTGAATGTTCATAGTACTAAATAGGATTTCTAAACAGATGGGCGTAATTAACATAAAATGTATCCACAGATAGAGTCTATTTGGTGTTCTAGTAATTATTTCAATGGTCCGATACTTAAGCATTAATTAAACCGCAGCACAGCCAACAAAGGAATTGCAGTGAAGAGTTACTGAGTTGGGATGCGGAGGGAGATCTCGGGTTCTTCAAACCAATTACCTTTTTTCCACCATCAGAAAGAAAAAAAGACTGTTAAACATATAATTAAAACATGTGTGTATTTGCATTTCTAACAAGCTGCTAGGAGAAGCTTGTTCCTAGCCGTGAAGTGAACTAACTGGTCTCTGGGTTGCGTAGAAAGTCAACAGGGTTGCACATTGCAGCACTGGGTGGGGCTGGTCAGCTCTTGCACGAAGCCCTGAATTTAAATCTTCATGACAAAAGCTTCAGTGTAAACGGTTGTGATGAACTTCGGTCTGTTATCTTTTCAGGAACACAAGTTATGTAAGATGGGATGTTGTTCAGAACAATTTCTATAAACCCATATTTTCCTTGGAATACTTTTATGTAGATGATTTGCATGGTACTACTGTGCAGAGAAGAGACTCAATAGTGAGCCAACTGAAGTTTTTGCTTCTTTTATCATAAGTTTTGTCCTAAATACCTGGCTTTTCAACACAGATTTTCTCACTCTGATTTCATGGAAGTGGAGTTGCGTTGTTGTGTGAGGTAGGGATGTGAAAAGCCAAATTGAATACGGCGATCTCTGCCCTTCAGTGCTGCAATGGGTCCTTGGGAGGAAAGGGGACAGTAACACGAGCATCATAAATCTAAAAACTATTCTCTCATTCTTTCAGTGTTTTCTTATGATTCTTAATTTTTATCAGTTGATTCTTTTACAGAAAATGTCTTTAAAAAAATAAGTAAAGCTGTGTTTAGTTTGCTCTCTGATTAAGTCTGATTAAGATCTGCAGAAGGCAGGCGTTGTTCTACTTCACCTCAAATGGAAATAACATTTTAACTCCCCCCTAACCCCTCTTTCCCCAAAAAAGTCATCCCATTCCACAACCAGGGAGTGCTTTCAGGGTTTTGAAGACTTGAGGTTAGATGAGATAGTGTGAGGTGGTTACTGTGATTCATGCCTGTACTCTTTCTATGCCAATAAACGTCTTCCTCTTCCTACGCTAAAGGTGTATTTAATCCTGTGAGAAGAACTTAAATGCCATTTATTGTGAAAGGGTTTGACTTCAACTTATGGTAGTCTGCATTAATTCCGTTCATGAGCCTTTTTTGGTATAATTATTAGACTAAAATGAAGTTGGGGGTTTTGAGTACTTTGATGTAAAGATGGGTTTTATTCTGTAAAATATTGAAATGGTGGGTTTGGGGTTTTTTAATTAAAAATCATTCTAAATTAGCAGAAAGCATGTTTTAAATACTGTGTTATTCACTTACAGCTGCCAAAACATAGTACAGTGAAATAATGATCTGCTAGCCTGCTAAACAAGTGTCCAGCTTCCACAATGCCTGTGCAGGCAGCTCAGTGGACAGAATTTCTGTCCTGCCCAATCTGCTACAACGAGTTTGATGAGAATGTGCACAAACCCATCAGCTTAGGTTGCTCTCACACTGTCTGTAAGACCTGCCTGAACAAGCTTCATCGCAAGGCATGTCCTTTTGACCAGACTGCCATCAACACAGACATCGATGTGCTTCCTGTAAACTTTGCACTCCTCCAGTTAGTTGGAGCCCAGGTATGATTTAAGCAGCTCTTTGTTTTGCCGCTTCGTGTTATTACTGTTTACGTGCCAGTTGCAATACATATGCTGACCTTTTCCCCTTGGTTTATTGTAAAAAATGGTTAAGACTGACTTTGTAGTATTTAGAAAGCCATACATACTCTGAAAGCAGCTACACCATTTTCAGGATTATCCCTTTCTCATAAAATGAAAACATGTTCTAGTCGTAAGCTGAAATCTGGTTTAAAAAGGCTCTTGAACTGTGACTGGAGAAAAATACCTATTAGGAAAGACAATTATCTGTCACCATTGTCACTAGAAAAGTGAACCTGCAGATTGCACTCAACGTACTTTTGCAAGGAGTCTCGTTTCTACATGTCACATGTTCCAAAGTAGCTGTTGAACCAAGTTTCAGAAGCCTCTGTGTGTCATTTTTTTTGAATGTGCATGATGATGGCTTTTCAGTCGTGTTTTCAGACACTGGCTAATCAGGCTAGGAGTGTTCCCTGTGCTGTCTCGTAGCGGTGGCACAACAGTGATTATATAATCAGTGCTGCGCTTTATGGAGACTAAATAAGTCTGTTCACCTTATGCTGATTCATATGCTTTTCATATTTCATATTCTCCATGTAACACCACGGTGATGCCGTAAGATGATGCTTTTTACTTTGCTTTTTAATGTCTTACCACATTCCTTGACACAGCTATTGGTAATAACACTGTCAATGTTAAAGGGGGTTTGTTTCTCAAGTTCACATGTTCCTTTCATTATTTTTCATTATTTCTAAAGTTTGTGTCAAATCAGTGTTTCGAATTTACAATGTTCACTTTCCTGGTCTCCTAACCTCTTGAAATGTCTTTCAAACAAGTGAATGTATTGTGACTAGTATTCTTTCTGTGTTCGTTGTCTGACCTTGTTATTCTACTCTGAGGGTTTTTTTCCACGAAGTTGTTTGCTCATTCTTCTCTTTGAAGATGTCAGCATGCCCAAATTATGCTTAAATTATTTTTAAACTTTGCATTTTGTTTTTTTCATATTTTCTTGCCAGTTCATTTTGTCTTATAACTTCCCATGTGTCTCTGTAGTAAATCATGCTGATCTTGTACGCTGATCATCCCTTCAGATCATGTGTTCTTCATTCATCTTTTAAGTACCTTCTCATTAGACCTTGGCTATTGTTTCTGTCCTACTCTTGTTCCTAATGAGTTGAGTACTAACAAATAATATTTCATCACCCTGGTCTTCATCTCAAGTCCTTTTTTCATTCCTTATTGCATGCTACATACCCTGGGTGGGTCCTGTCTTCTCTGAAAAGCAGTGTACATCTGCAGTGTTATGTAATTAAGAGTCGTGATGTTGGTGCCATCGTAGGCATATCGGAGAGGTCAGCTGGGTATATATAATTCTTCTCCCTTCCTCCTCCCCCTTGCATTTTCTTAGGTGCCCGATCATCAGACAGTAAAGTTGAGTAATGTGGGAGAGAACAAGCATTATGAAGTAGCAAAGAAATGTGTTGAGGATTTGGCACTCTACTTGAAGCCATTAAGTGGAGGAAAAGGTGAGTCTGTACTGAACAGCGGAATTCTGATGTAGCTTGCTTTGAACAGCACTGTTTTCAGCACTGGTTTTAGGCATCAGTGGGATAATCCTCTAAATTTTGTAATAAATTTTCCCTGACATCTTTAAAAGCTTGTTCACATCTGTGACACTTTATTTCTTAATTTTAAATTTTTAAAAAATTATTTTAAAGTTAATAATATTGTCTTGGGACTAACTTTGCACTAAAGCTGAACTTTCCTCAAAGGATGGTTTGCTGCCACTCTAAGGGTTAATTAAAATTCTTTTGGTAGTGAATTACACAGAGTTGCCAAAGTGAAGGGAAGATACCGTGACTAGTATTCAAGTCCTGAAGACACATGCTATTAGACATTTTTATTTTGTCTTGTCCAGTTAAATTTGTCTGATTACACGTAATAATTTGCCTTTTCTCGCTTTCTTTGAAGGTGTTGCAAGCTTGAATCAGAGTGCACTGAGCCGTCCAATGCAAAGGAAGCTTGTGACGCTGGTGAATTGTCAGCTGGTGGAGGAGGAGGGTCGGGTTAGAGCTATGAGAGCAGCTCGATCACTTGGAGAGAGAACCGTTACAGAACTGATCTTGCAGCACCAAAATCCTCAGCAGCTTTCTGCCAACCTTTGGGCTGCTGTCAGGGCACGAGGGTGCCAGTTTCTAGGACCAGGTAAGGTACCTGTAGAATCTGCAATGGTATATTTAGCTGTACCTTTTCTTAACAGAAAGTTCTTAGAGAATTTTATCTGTGCAGTTGAAGATGGAATTACTTCTGGTTTTCAACTTTTTGCCAGGAAGAAAGGAGAAGGAAAAAATAAACTAGACAAGTCAGTAAAACTTAGCATTGATGAGATGTCCAAAATGGCAAAGGCTACAAGACTGCATAGTGGAGAAAAGTACAAAAACTACACTGCTGATGTGTTTATTACTGAAAATTAGTCTTAGCTTTTTAAGCTTGCTGTGCTTAGAGTGATTCTTATATTTGAGTAGTCATGGCAGTCCGGTGAAGTTTCCACATGGATGGTGGGATTGAGTGCAGTCTTAGGAGATTTGCCAATGACAGCAAACTATGTGGTGCGGTGACACGCTGGAAGGAAGGGATGGCATCCAGAGGGGCCTGGACAGGCTGGAGAGGTGGGACTGTGCCAACCTCATGGAG